CCTGGATTGTATGAGAGTGAAACTAGAAATTCAAGTTAGCACTACTATTTGTATAACATACACTTTATAAATATGCAATTTAAAAAATATATCTTTTTCAAAGGTACTTTACAGCGCATTTGTTTTTTAAGTGGATATCTCTTTGCATATTCAAAAAGTTTCTGATGTTTCATTAGAGGTTCTTAAGATTCTGTATAACATTGCATTAAAAAAGTGTTATAAGAAAGTTTATAACTGGAACATTTATTTTGAATGAATGTATATGAGTATTATTTATCCACCTACCAGGGTTTGTTTCGTTGTTAACCGGGCAAAAGACCTCATAGTTTTGCCGGGGAGGTATGATGCCGTTGGCAGCGGCCAGGGCCAGACCCTCTGCTGTGCCGTAGAGCAGCTGAAGTTCTCTTGCCTCATTCTCCTCCTGCGCCTGCTGTCTGCGGAGCGCAACCTGGGCGGCCATGACGCGCTGTCTCTCAGCGATGAGAGTGCATTTGGCACACATGCAGTCCTTCCATCTGCAGTAGCGCTTATGCCCCTTCAGCGCGGACACCACGCCGTGGTTCCTGCACCGGGCGCACTTGGGAGTTCGTGGATACTTCTCCGTAGCGCGAAGCAACAGCGGCGGGCCCCTTAACAGGTTACCGGCCATGGAAACCGGGATGGAGGCGGCAACGGCAGCGGCCGCAGCAGCGGCGCCAGGATGAACCTGCGACCCTGCCTGGGAGGCGGGTGGGATATCTGGACGAAGATCCATATTCTCCGAATCAACAAACAGCTGATCGATAGGTTAAAATACGTGCGCAACCGAAGTCTTCGATCGGAGACGTTTCATAAACATTGAGCAGAATCGATACACGGCGAATTTCTTCAGCACAGCACTTGACGAAGAACACAGCCCGAATGCCAGTGTCCAAGAAGAGATCAGAAAAGACTTTTGATTGCTTATGAAAGTGCTCTTTCCAGTGAGGTCTTCGACTTGTTGCGCGCAGTCCACAAGCAGCCCAATAAACTTCTTTTAGAAATTAAACATACGTTTAACACAAACCAAATCAAGTAAAAACACAAACATCCATCGAAGGCAGTGCAAAACTATCTTTAAACTCAATGATCAGCCGACAGTCTGAGAGAGAGCAGAGTTTGCTGCTGGAGCCAGTGTGAGACACTAACTTCCTCGAGAGATCTTCAGTGGATACACATCACTCTCGGATCTATTGTTGCGCCCACGTTTTCATTAGACAAATTTGACAACAATGTGGCGCCTGTCATTGGCCAAAGGGGGAAGGAGCGATCTGATTGGCTTGTCACTTTTTCAACTGTGTCCACCTGCGTTCTTTTCTCAAATAACAAGCATCACGCAGAGCTAAAACATAAAACTTTTATGATAAGGAATTATTTACTAAAATACAGGCAATAGATCCTGTAAGACAA